GTCCAGATTTGGTCGGACCAGCTTATTGGATTGCACGTCACGAAATCTTTTGCCTGCAAATACTTGGCTGAATAATTACGAACAGCTAGCTCAATTCAAGAGTTAAGGCCGCCTGAACGCCTCAATTCAAGTTATCTGGTGAACAAGATTGAACTGGTAATGATACACGCTTTAAACGAATTGCGAAATGTATCTGAAGATTATTTCTTTGCGATAACAACAAGCCGCTTGTAAATATTGATAAAAACTAGAGTAGCAAATTGTGAAAAATTCGAAAGAAAAAACTAGCATTATAATGATTAAAATTGCTAGATTTGTATTTCACACGCACACATGTTAACACCCATTTTTTTTTATAAAAGCCTTAAATACTTGGAGCGTTCTTTTTACCAGGTTTCAATATTAAATATGAATAAAACCTTATAATAAACGTAATGAAATTTATAAGCGTTCCATGCCAAATTCTTAATACCCGGTGTAGTCGCATCGTGTGATGGGGTTATGCTGGGATTGAAATTCTAAGGAAGTTATCTATTTTTGTAAAGTAAATATAGGGTATCCGGGTGGTGGTAGGTCGCGTTCCCTCGACCGCTCCGGGGAAAGAAGCAGCGTTTCGCCATTAAAGCGGACCTTTGGCCTGTCGACCGAGGGAACCGGTGGTCGTGTCGCCGGCGGCCACCGGTCCGGCGTCTGTATAATATGCTCTGCGTCAACCCTGTCCTATCCCGCCGTCTCAATAGCCCCAAGAGTTTTTAGTGAGGTTCAACTACCACAGATCAGGCGATTTTCTACTGTGAAAAAAAATACTTCGATTATAAGGAGTTTATTTGTTTGTGCTTTCACGTCTTCACTATATAACCATTCATCAAAATTTTCCATTTCGATACCTTTCAGAAAAAAATGGTATTCACTCTTCTTGACGGACACTTTTTTTAACGCAACGCAAAAGGAACATTAATGCAAATGAAGTCACACGTAAAATGTACTCCAAGTTAAAGGTGTAATCAAAATGAAATCCGCAAAATTATCATTATATAATATAAGTATCTCTATGATATCGATTGCTATATATAATCCAAGATACGGAGTTCAATAAGTTAATAATCATTCAACTAACGAAGCGAAGAATCATAATGACGTCATTCAGGTTGTGGTGTCTATGAACTTCAGTAGCCATATAGTACCAAATGGACCGTAAAATATTTTTGCCAACTTAAACAATATAATTGTTATGTATTTTTAAACTATAGTTTCAAACACCACAACAAAATGAAAAGAAACAAAAAACGTATCCACGAAGAGCCAAATGCTAACTATATACTTTTCGACGGATGTACTACTGTTTTAGTGGTCACGTGCGGCGACCATAATATTAGGTAATTACTCTACTACATGAATATACGGTACTAGAAGATAACCAAAAAAAACCATTTTATTTTTCATTGCGTAAACAGGTTAAATAGCTAACGGAAGCCGTCAGCATCACAATCTGGAAGCCGCCATCCCCTTTGAGACATGAGGTGAAAGAATTTATTGTATTAAAACCGTTATCACTCCTCAAACCCGAACGTGTGACTGCTTCGCAACAGAAAGGCAAGATTGTGGTATCTACTCGTGCGAGATATAGTTTGCCATCCCACCAGTTGGCAATTGCAGTAATCTGTTAAATAAATGTTTACCGATTTATTGGTACCTATATTGCATGGAAAAAATAATTACATTACAAAATTGAATTTTTTTTTTAATTGCCTTTGTAGGCAGACGAGCATACGCCCCACCTGATGGTGAGTGGTTACCGTCGCCCATGGACTTCAGCAATGCCAGGAGCAGAGCCAAGCCGCTGCCTACCGTTTAATACTCTCCACAAGCCTCGTTTGAAGAAGGACATCTCATAGCGCTCGGGAAACACCGTGGAGGGGAGCTCATTCCATAGCCGGATGGTACGTGGCAAAAAAGACCTCAAACATTTATGACGCAATACCGATTGAACAATTAAAAACTAATAACGTTCTAATTGATATACGTTTCACAGATACCCAGATAATAATAATAAAATACATTCGATTCGTATTAATAGTGTCAAGACAATTAAGCAATCCTCATGATAATAAAAATAATAATTGAGGCTTTAATTAGATAAACACTACGAGTATTTTGAAATTGTTGTTGAAAATTGTTATTTACTTGAACGAGTATTTGCCTACGATATCCTGAGGACCCAGATAATAATAAAGAAATACATTTGATTCGTATTAATATTGTCAAGAAAATTACACAATCCTCTTGATAATATAAAATTGATTGAGGCTTTAATTAGATAAACACGATTTTGAAATTGTTGTTGAAAATTGTTGTATACTTGAAAGAGTGTTTGCTTACGACATCCTGAAGATCCTTCAATATTATTGTCCAGTTTGTATTCAGTGCTCACTCATCTGTAGATGACTCATAGTTACATAGCAATTTGTCATTTAGATTCTTTTTATTTTAATATTTTTTTATTGCCCTTGTAGGCAGACGAGCATACGGCCCACCTGATGGTGAGTGGTTATCGTCGCCCATGGACTTCAGCAATGCCAGGGGCAGAGCCAAGCCGCTGCCTATCGCTTAATACTCTCCACAAGCCTCGTTTAATTGTTGACTTCACCAGCAGCACCCCATCGCTTCCCGTGTGTGTTGTAAAAAGTTAATAAGGAGATTAATTACCGGAGAATTTTAGCGTTATTTGAGTATTACATAAGCATACTTTGATCATCAACCCGTATTTAATGAAGGTAGGTATTGTGGGTAGATATTTTGAGTTCGAACAATTGCAGCAGCCTTTGTTCTATAAAACAGAGACTTAGAATTCATGCCTGAAGGTGGGTGGACAGGTTTACATTGCAGATATCTATGGGCTCGATAACCACTTCGTACTGGATGGGTCGGCTTCTTCATCCGTCAACCAAAAAAAGTTGAGTCTTTGTCCACATTCCTCATAATTAGTGGCGGCATTAGCGTTATGATATTTATGGGCTAGGCTATGGCTCAACATCACCGGGTCGTGACATCTTAACGGCCTGGATTTAATAAATAATTAAAGAGTTTAAAAATATTTCACACCACTATACTAAAACTATTCACGAATGAATAAATCATCAGTATTGATATATTTTTAAAAGTATTGATACTTAACGTTTTGAAAAAGTTTCTGCGTAACAAAGTTTTTAAAAGAAAAAATAATAATTCTAAGATTAAATCCGACTAACTTTCGAGTAGAATAATTTTTTTTTCGACATTGTAATTTTTTGCAAACTTTGATCAGGCCCCCGGTTGATTTGTCTGATTTGAAGATTTCTAATATTATATTTTATTTATTTTAAAAACGGTATCGAAGATATATGTATGTGTAAGAGAAGTATCGGGAGATATCTCGTTTTCATTTATTTATTACTTATTATCACAATAGACGATAAACCTTGTTAAAATTTGACGCCAAAAAAACTAGTTACTATTTCTTTTATACAAGGCAATTCTTCAGACCATTTTTTTTCTACCTAATCTTGTAGCCAGAGAGGGTTAAGCCAGCGTAACCGTAGGTGAGTGAGCTTTCGGGTCTCTAACCTGACGACGTGGCTAACACTAACCCTAGCAAGAGGAGTGCTTCGCAGAATCTACTACCGAATCGGAAACTTGACCCACTGAGAAGATCCGGCGAGAAACTCAGTGGGCTGTATCTGTGGGTTAATTTACTCGTCGAACCCGACGCTTGCGACAAGGATACGGTGACCGATGGTTGAAGAACCTAAAAGCACCGATAGTGGATCGGGAGGATCTGAAATGAAGTGCTTAGGGCGATTGTTTACCATTCTACCGACCAACTTTTGTTTTCATTTTTAGACTTTCGATGGCAAATTTGCGTATGGCCAACCTGATGGTGAGTGGTCACCCCAACTTGCGAACTTCAACAATGCCTCGGTTACAATCAATATATCAATATATCTATTGTCCAGGATTGTGCGTATTCAGTTCTACAGTTGAGCAAATCATTAAAATTCACAATCTTAGAAATTAGAATCCATTGCATTATTTATTTTAAAAAAAAAGTCCGGTCGTTGACACCTAATTGACACTTACTCGCCAATTCTCACCGGAACATGACAGACTTAGCGGCCTACAAGTAGTAAGATTTATGATCGTGCAAGATTCGAAACACGTTATTGCCATTGAATAGGACCCTTTTTGTTCTCGGACTTTGAAACTCAAATTACATCGTGATCTATTCACGTAAGTAACCATGGTACATATATTCTTATACATTGGTACGGATAATACATTATGTTTTAACTTACGCTTTCCGCGGTATGCATTCTCCCGTTTCTCTCAAATTTCTGATTTTACATCTTTGTATTCTACTAACGTTCGTTGAATTACATAATATCTGATATTAGATACCATTGAAAAGACTTCTAAACCTTGTACTTTTCATATCAATGTAGGTTATGTACATAAATCTCAGTCACATTAAAGTCGTCGTGGCCTAAAGGATAAGACGTCCGGTGCATTCGTGTTGAGCGATGCGCCGGTGTTCGAATCCCAGGCGGGTACCAACTTTTCTAATGAAATACGTATTCAACAAATTTTACGATTGACTTATAATGTGAAGGAATAACATTGTGTAATCAAAATCAAACCCGCAAAATTATAATTTGCGTAATTACTGGTGGTAGGACCTCTTGTGAGTCCGCGCAGGTAGGTACCACCATCCTGCGAATTCCTGCCGTGAAGCAGTAATGCGTTTCGGTTTGAATGGTGGGGCAGCCGCTGTAACTATACTGAGACCTTAGAACTTATGTCTCAAGGTGGGTGGCGCATTTACGTTATAGATGTCTATGGGCTCCAGTAATCACTTAACACCAGGTGGGCTGTGAGATCATCCACCCATCTATGCAATAAAAAAAAGAGAGACTCTTCCACTCAGCTTCGAATGAACTAACAATATTTTCTCTTTTGTCCTACAGATGGCGTAGCGTGATGGAGGGGGAGTGCTCTGAGGGCGCGGAGGGCTGGCTTCTAGTTCGGGTCCACGTGCCCGAGCTAAACGTTCAGAAAAGCCTGCAGTTCCCGAGGGATCAGCTAGTTTGGGACGTGAAGCAACAGTGCCTTGCCGCCTTGCCTAAGGTCAGTACACAATACGGACAAATCAATACCTCAGTTGTGAAGGTGGGTGGCGCATTTACGTTGTAGACGTCTATGGGCTCCGGTAACCACTTAACACCAGGCGGACCGTGAGCTCGTCCACCCATGAAAGCAATAAATAAATAAATAAAGTCTGAAGTTCAGTAAAGTTAAGATAAGAGTGAGAAATTGGTCCGTAGCTATACTACTTACTACACTCGATTTTTTTTAAGTATAATTTAATATTAGTATTAATAGTAGTATTAGTATTCATTCAATAGTAGGTAGTAATGAAAAAAATAATATACAAATAAACACTTAATAAAAACTTAACCAATTAAAAAACTATGACTTGTTGTAATCTGCTCACAAACCAACCTTTCTCACGTCTTCGTCATCAATCAAAGCCTCGTGAGTTCCTTTAAGTACTAAACATCAGTTATGAATTAACATACACAAAAGTAAATATTAACCTAAGTTGAAAGTAAACATATACAAAAACTACCAAATTTTTACCTATTAAAATATTCAAGAACTCCGTCTTTAAAATAAACATACATAATTAGCAGCTACATAACGAGGGTTCAAAAGCTATTTGGTTTAAGCGACATTTTTGCAACTTCACAGGAGAGTCATTTGATGCTTAAAATTTGGAAAAAATATAATAATAAAAAAACTTCTTCAGCTATTTCAATGGAGTAAATTTAATTGAAGTACAATTAAAAACAACGAATTGTTGATATTAATACTAAATGAAACGAACCTTTAATTAAAAAGATAAATGCCGCATATTAGGCGAAATGTTGCTTAAACGATTTTAAACCTTTCACCCCTCGATATTAGTATTAGTTTTTTTTTTATAGATTTTTTTCCTACCAGTAATTCTAGTAACCTCGAGGGGTTATTCTAGATTCTCCGAATTAGTAGGTGACCTCACGGGGCTCAAACCTGACCACGTTGCTAACACGAATCCTAGCAAGAGCCGTGCTTCGCAGAATCTACCACCGGATCGGAAACGCGACCCACTGAGAAGATCCGGCGAGAAGCCGGCGTGTCTATGGGTTAATTTACTCGCCGAGCCCTTCGTCGCAAGCGACGGGTTCGACGAGAACAATGACCGGATTGATAGAGATAATATATAACCTTCACATCACTTTAGTCACTAAAAGTTTTTTGTTATTCTGTGAAAAATATAACGAATTCGATTTAGTACTAATTAAGATATAACACAAAAAAAGCATCAAAGAAAGAGTTTGATCAATTCGAATACTGTTACAGTTTTATTATTATCACGTTGGTATCGACTTCATGGCCCGGATTGTCCGCACTTTTACACAATTCGATACAATTTCGTTTAATTAACCTCAAAAATGAAAGGTCACAACGTTTACGCTGTGATTTACGGTAAATGCCTTATGATTATTTTTAAATTTATTTTGATTCAGACGTGCGAAGATATCGTGGATATATTTACGATTTAAAAGGGTAATTTGATTGTGAAACATATGTATTATATGTTTACTATATACTACATATGTTTCACAATCAGTTTTAAAGAGTCATTTGTAATGAGAATTTAATGAAACTGGTGTGAATGACATTGGAACGAGGTAGAAAATTTATGAAAACTGGAAGGAGGAGGTTACTTGAAAATGAAAAATAAATATTAAGCACATTTTTTTTTATTGAGCGATAGAACAAAATTTAAATTCATAATAGATTCTTTCTTTTCATTTGTCTCTATAAAATTGACGCTAACTTTTTAAATATAAAAAAAAATAACTTATTCGAAATATAAAAATCGAACAGAGATATAATCTATAAAAATATATTAAAAAGAGGTGAGGTGTGTTGCATAAAGAAAGTGTTAGTTAGCTAAAACGCCAATAATTATAATTAAAAATAGTCAACAAAGATTGAAAATTCCTGTCATTACGAACTTACGTGTAAAATGTACGACATAACTGGTTACGCTGCTTTACTTTCGATTATTTAAATCGGTTTTGTAAAACGTTATTCAATGTTAGTGTTTCACGGCGAACGTTTAGTGTGTCAATGAATTCTGAATTATCAAAAGAAATGTAGGTATTGTTCGACTTTGAACTAGATAGTCGAAAACGAATAAACATTAGATGTTTGTGTGTGGCTTTTTTAGCTATCATCGTTGTCATCACCAAAACTAGCACGGCTATGCGATGGCGTAACATTAAAGATAGCGCTTAGGAACATGATAGAGGAGAGTTTATTCCAGATATATCACTTATCACTATAGATATAGGTATATATCGCTGTAAAGATTTTTTTTATTGCTTAGATGGGTGAACGAGCTCACATCCCATCTGGAGTTAAGTGGTTACTGGAGCCCATAGACATCTACAACGTAAATGCGCCACCCACCTTGAGATATAAGTTCTAAGGTCTCAAGTATAGTTACAACGGGTACCCCGCCCTTCAAACCGAAACGCATTACTACTTTACGGCAGAAATAGGCGAGGTTGTGATAACCTACCCGCGCGGACTCACAAGAGGTCCTACCACCAGTAATTACCAGTAATTAAAATTATAATTTTGCGGGTTTGATTTTTATTACACGATGTTATTCCTTCATCGTGGAAGTCAATCGCGAACATCTACTGAGTACGTATTTCATTAGAAAAATTGGTACCCGCCTGAGATTCGAACACCGTTGCATGGCTCAACACGTATGCACCGGACGTCTTATCCTATAGGCTACGACAAAAAATATGTACATATTAACAACAAAGTTTAATTTTAACAGTTTTTACAGGTTTGCTCACAAATCATAGACCGGATCTTCGATTATGAATTAATAGGGAATTCGTTTTTATAAAAACATTATAACTGTTTAAATTTCTCTTGACATTCTTGTGGCCCTATACTGGATCAATGGGTTAAGCGTCCAAAATAGCGTTTCACATTCGAAGCCTCCATGACATCAGGTGTCCGTGACCGAAAAACCTGTTGTTATCTAATTCTGCATTTCATTTCTAACTAGGCTATAAAAAGTAGCTAAATTTGATGACCTTACAGAAAAACATAAAACCTTTAATCTATACTATATATATTATATATTATATTATAAAGAGGAAAGATTTGTTTGTTTGTTTGTTTCGAATAGGCTCCGAAACTACTGAACCGATTTGAAAAATTCTTTTTCCATTAGAAGCCGACATTGTCCCTGATGAACATAGGCTACTTTTTTAATTTTTTTTCTTTTTTTTTTTTGTTTTCATTTGTGTTTTAATGTTTCCGAAGCGAAGCGAGGGCGGGTCGCTAGTTGAAATATAAAATCCTGCGTATAATACAAGATATGACATATCCTTCTTCAAACGAGGCTTGTGGAGAGTATTTAACGGTAGGTAGCGGTTTGGCTCTGCCCCTGGCATTACTGACGTCCGTACGTGACGGTAACCACTCACCAACAGGTGGGCCGTATGCTCGTCTGCCTACAAGGGCAATAAAAAAAAGTGTGGTTGCTCTAGTTTCTAGTTAGTTAGTTAGTCTACTTAGTATTTTTTCAGCAGAGCCCCAAGCCTCGCCACAAGAACCCGTCCTGCGTTACTTACATTTTATTCAGATATACAATATTGATATTTTTTTGATAATGAATTTTAAGTATTCACCCTGTTTAAGAGAAAAAAACATTAATCTCTATATATAAAAATGAATTGCTGTTCGTTAGTCTCGCTAAAACTCGAGAACGGCTGGACCGATTTGGCTAATTCTGGTCTAGAATTATTTGTGGTATCCAGAGAAGGTTTAAAAGATAGATAAATATAAAAATGCTCGGAATTAAATAAACATAACAATTTTGTTTTCCCTTTGATGTGTCCCCGTTGGACGGATTCCTTTTGTTTGTTTTAAGTTTATTTTATACAAAAGTTTAGGTCTTTTATTCATCGATTGAGGCACTAAGAATTCTGCCGGGTCAGCTAGTAAATTATAAATCGCACAGAAGAATAGACGAACATCCTAAAATAGAAATGTACCTACGGATCTTGACTGAAATTAATAATGTCCGTCGTTTCAGATTGTTTGTTCAGCTCTCAGGGCCGCGACTACACGCCGTCTTCGAATTTCTTAATTAAACTCTCAGTTTTGAACTCGATCTTCGACGCTTGAATCCTATTTCCAAGCGAAACTTAATATTGAAGTAAGAAGTGGCACTTGGTCAAATGAGAATCAGTTGATTAATGCGAAATGATTTCGTTCGTATTAGTTTGCCTGAAAATGGTAAACAGTAGGTCTGTCTGTGTTAGTGTACCCACTAAAATTATTTCCTTTGGTATGTCCCAATTCATGTTTTTGTCGCACTATTCTCCGCATTAACTTAAAAACGTAAAATTAGAAAGTCCGCTCGAGTAGGAACCACCACCCTGCCTATTTCTACCGTGAAGCAGTAATGCGTTTCGGTTTGAAGGGTGAGGCAGCCGTTGCACTGTAAAAACTGAGCCCTTAGAACTCATGTCTCGAGGTGGGTGGTGTCATTTACGTTGTAGATGTCTATGGGCTCCGGTAACCACTGAACACAATATGGGTCGTGAGCTCTTCTACACATCTAAGCAATAAAAAAATAAACAAGCGGTGATACCGGTCTTGTAAGTCCGCACGAGTAAATACCGCCACTCTATCTAATTTCTACTGCAAGCACCCATGCGTTCCAGTTTGACAACGGTATAGCCGTTAGGTAATTTAATTGAGACTTCAGTTTCATGTCCAGAGGAGGTTAGCGGTATTGACGTGATGCCCCTACGATTCACTCACCAATGAATGAGAGCTTAAAGAGCTGGCATTAATCTGAACAAGGCATTACATAGAGGTTTATCGTGGCAGGGACAAGACAAGGCGCAAGGTACAGTTAGGAATTGGATAGTTTGACTATGAACACAGAACAATGGAATGTATATTAGAAAGCAATTTTTTTAAGAATATTGATTATATTTTGTTTACATTAAATTTGGTCTAACGAGATGCCTGGTACAATCTGACTATTCCCAGGCAGCAGTGTGCTTAGTGCGAGTTTTTTAACGTTCTCGATAGCGTAAAAGTTAACTCAATTTTTATGTAGTTGGAATGTTTGCCTACGTTTGCCGCTGGAGGCGCAGCTCCAACTGCATACAAATTTGAGGTTTTATTTTTATTTATTACTTAGATGGGTGGACGAGCTCACAGCCCACCTGATGTTAAGTGGTTACTGGAGCCCATGGACATCTACAACGTAAATGCGCCACCCACCTTGAGATATAAGTTCTAAGATCTCAGTATAGTTACAACGGCTGCCCCACCCTTCAAACCGAAACGCATTACTGCTTCACGGCAGAAATAGGCAGGGCGTTGGTACCTTCCCGCGCGGACTCACAAGAGGTCCTACCACCAGTAAAGTGAGTTACCACCAGTAAGTTGAGTCAACTTTTACGGTATCTTGAACGTTAAAAAACTCGCACTAAGCACACCGGTTGGCTCTGAGTTCGTCTACCTATCTATAGCGTCATGAAAACCGCAACGCTACTAACTGCAATCAATATCAACCGTGTCCCGTTATGCATAAGTCGAAAATCATTAAAAAACAACTGAGCCCTTACGAGACACGTGTGACTCGCATAGCATACCTCAAAATTCTTGTTTATCCAGTCTCGTGTTGGAACTTCGCTCGTGTGTTTTTGTTCAAACATTCGTGCCTATAATACGCCAAGTGATGTGCCAACATCAACCAATGTTTGTAGTTGTAGTTTGTGGTGCCTGTCGTGGCGGGAAAAATCAACGCGTACTAAATAATAAAACCAGTATAAATACCGTTACTCGTTACGTGGAAGTGTGGTCCGAATCATACATTGTGCTTTGGCCCACCAATACTACTACTTGGCTCGCGAGTTGTAGGCTTGTTATGGCTATTTGTGATCGTCTGACGTGACTCGAAACATTATTAAGTTAACTTTGTATGCGATGACGTTTATTTATTTACGCTTAGGTTTTTTTTTATTGCCTTTGTAGGCAGACGAGCATACGGCCCACCTGATGGTAAGTGGTCACCGTCGCTCATGGACGTCAACAATGCCAGGGGTAGAGCCAAGCCGCTGCCTAAAACATGCACAGACAAAACATTAACAAAAAAAAACATTATTTAGTAAGGCTAATAACACATTTATTATTACTGAACCGATATCATTGTGGTAACCCTTTGTGGTAAAGAATTTTAGGAAATTAAAAGATACATGTAATAGGTTTTATTGAACAAACTTTGATTTATTTATTTTTCAAAAGAAAAATTAAACATAAATTACCATGGAATAATGATTCAGTTAAATTTATTTTTTTATTATTATAGTGTAGGACTCCAACCGTGCCATCGCAGAAGGTGTGTGGCGCATTTATGTTGTAGATGTCTATGGGCTCCAGTAACTTAAAACCAGGTGGACTGTGAGCTCGTCCACCCATCTAAGCAATAAAAAAAAAACATGAATGATAGACACGATTCGCACACCTATTGCAATGTTTTGTAATGACATTGTACTGTTAAAACTGAGCTCATGTCTCGAGGTGGGTGACGGCATTTTCGTAAAAACCCACAAAAAACGACAAAAATAAAGCAGGCTAAGTTTATGATGTTTTAGAGAAAGAAAGATAGAATAGAATAAACATTAATGTTAAGACCTCGTTTAAAAAAAAAAATACAGAATCTTAGACAAGTCGCGGCCTCAGTTCGCTTTGTTGTCGATCAGATTCCGACCTTCTCAGGTGGCTATTTTGTTGGGCTTCCTGAGATTCCCAATTTGCCTTATCTCCCTTTCGAATATTAAACACTGGATACAGAGAAAGGAATCAAAAATTAGAACACCAATAAATAATAAACTACTTTAAACAGAGCGTGAGAGAGACTTCATTCTAATTTAATACATTTTCTTCTTTATGTATGTAGATTTTACAATATTTTAATGAATTTATGTAAATTTATTAATAAAATCAAAGAAACTATTTTTTTTTATTTGTATGCTGTTAGAATATGTTAGTTATAATCTTTGTTTTCTATTTACTAATCAATGTATTAATATATTATTTTATTTACTATTGTTTCCGGTGACTTCGTGGCACCACAGGTGGCAACTTGGTACAGGGTATGTTATTTCAACCCCATGTATGTTGAATGGACGGCTATAAATGTATGCATGTAAATGGTATAGATAATTTTGATGTGCGAATAATAGCCCATTTACAGTTCGTGACGATAAATTACGTACGTCGAGCATTAGAAAGTGACAGCAAACGGTTAAATTGCATTTATCTCTGTCGCACTATACAACTTCACACGTCTACGACAGAGATGCCTTATAAAACCGAAAGGTGACAACTGTCCCTTTCTAACACTCGAAACACATATTATTGTGGAATACGATCGCCCCTAGCTGTGTAGCATGACTGTCTATATTATCCCTTGCATGCCACAAAAATTCAAAATCCATTAAAAAATTAATTAATCTTTGAAATAGGTCACCGAGAATGCACAGAAACGTGCCTAAAGCATGAAACCGAAGTGTCAATACCAATGTGTAGCATGATTAATCCCGACACGAGAATGTGTTATCGGTTAAATTCCTTTAGAAATAAAACAAAGCTATTATCAACTCTGCTATGAATTATAACAATAACTTGTATTAGTTTTAAACAAAACGCTTATGAACTCTGGATGTACTTGATACAAAAGGAATTTTGAGAACTATGATGTTATAGATGTGATGCCAATAGTTATCAAAAAAGCTTTTCTTTCAAGAGCTTAAAAATAAATATTTGTAGCGATCAGTACTTACCTACTCTATGTCAGCATTACTTATATCATACCAATAAAAAAAAACTCAAAATAAATTGCCTTTAGAAAATACCCTTGGCAATACATAAATAGAGTCGATAATCGAATAATAATTACAATCTCGTTCAACTCGTTGAAAAACCNAATAGTTATCAAAAAAGCTTTTCTTTCAAGAGCTTAAAAATAAATATTTGTAGCGATCAGTACTTACCTACTCTATGTCAGCATTACTTATATCATACCAATAAAAAAAAACTCAAAATAAATTGCCTTTAGAAAATACCCTTGGCAATACATAAATAGAGTCGATAATCGAATAATAATTACAATCTCGTTCAACTCGTTGAAAAACCAGTGCAATCCCATTAAATATCCACTCGTGACAGATAAATTGCTGAAAAAACTCATAACCATTACAATGCAATCTTCTCGTCGCTGCAGTGCTTAGTTTTAAAAGGAATTCAAGAGAAAACATAGTGATCTACAATAAAACCAGGTTGTACAGTCGATGTCCTAGGATAAAAAACTACATTTCTCAGTACAAAGTGAATACACTTTTATCAAGTGATAGTCTATTTTAGAATTAAATGAAGTTGCATTATTAGTGTTCAAATATCCTCAACCTCATGATTCTCGGGTAAGAAATATAAAGTTTGAACAACAAAACGATTCTCATAACAACGACCAATGCAATACAGAGAGAAGATACTTAAAAAATAATGTTAAAAGATTATCGCGGTATTCGAAAATCTTGCTAAATCCAAATATTTAAAAAAACTATGCTTTACTTGTAAAAAGACAAGATGAATGCTATACAGAATTAGCTGATAAATTAGCTGTTGCCGTTAATAACAATTTGCTCAAGCATACCTTAAGAATGAAAATCATATGATTAAAATTGCGTGTCGATGTCTGTACTACATCTTTTGCTGTATGTAAGTTAATTGCACGTCGATGTGAATAGGACTTGATAGGTAAAATACATATTTGTATTGATGTTGTATTGTAATTATATAGAATACACAAGTCAGGTAAGTATGTATTTATTTATTATATGTGTAATATTGTTAAAAAAGACTATAATATGAAGACGAGAGTCCAAAAATTACCGCTTTTTCTGCTCTTGTTTAAATATACATGGCGCGTCAGTCTTGACGTCTAAATTAAATGCCATTTTATTATTTAAAATGCTTCCAACAACGAATTTCTCATTCTCATCTTTATCATATTTTTCTATTTTTGTTAGCTTATTTTTCAACTGTAGGATATCAATCTACCAACGATTTTTTTTACCATTATACTTCTTATTTTGATAATTTAATCGAAGGCTATAGCACAAATAGTTATATGTCCGTAGTTACGTTTGTTATTACTTTATAACATTTTTTTTAATAATTTTATGCCCTTGTTCCTGTACAGTAACATCAGCCAAAACATTGAGAATACATTTGTATTTTTCCAATTTAACGTTCCATTTTGCAACTCAGAACTAGGGTGTAATAAAAATGGAACGCGAAACAAAACACTCTGTCTCTTATACGACACACGTTACTACAAACAACCCACATATACGACCCACATCCAAACGGCTCACTCACAAGAGCAGCTCAACAACTGGACATTTTTCTAACACAACACACTCCTTTGTAGAGTTATTTTCTAGAGGGACTTTTCCATACTCTCAGGCCATTGTATCCCGGACGATCCATTTTTGTACTCGAGGAGATTGGATGTGGATGCCTTACGGGTTTTACGAAATCATTTGGCCTAGACTGCAAGTGCTGAATATGAATAATGTTTTTTTTCCTTGGATTATAATTTATGCTTTAACATTGAAAGCAGTTATATGCAGACGCGTGCCATAATTTTTTGGTTAGTAGGAAATCGTCAGTCTTCCGCCTACCCGTTGGAGACAGTAGATGAGGTATCTCTAGAGTTCAACCGAATAAAATCCCCTATCGTTTAGACGGAGGTAAGTGTGAGCGTAAAGAATTTCTCCACACCAACGAACACCATTCGGATGTTGAATCGGTGGTCGTCTACGCTACGACCACTAGGACCCAAGACTAGACTATCCAAAGTCTGCTTAGGAGGTACGGGTGAATTGTATCCCATGGGATACGCTACTGGGTCAGAACCAGACTGAGTGAAAGATAAATCTAATAATTGCCACTCGGTGGCTCTTTTATTAGACCTGTGTAGCGCAACTTACACGTCATCTTCTTGTGTCTCACTCGTCGCTCCGCGGCACACAGAAGAGGGGCGAATTGGTGGCGAGAGGTTGGTGCAGTGAAAGAAGGGCACTCTGTACCATTATCGCTGACAAGCAACACAGTCACGGGACTGAAGCGACGTGTCGGTTCTGATTTGTGCGATAAGGACATGGTTCAGTACCTTCCTAGCAAGGTATACTCTGTACGCACGCTCGGCCGTCGGCTCAGCTATAATACATTGGAAATATTCAGCACCTCCACCAGCCGGTAGGTGAGGTGTCTTCAGTTCCGATGCACCCAATTATCGTCAGTCATGTGAAAGACACATCATAACCGAAAGAAGAGGGAAGCGAAACAAATACTAAAAATAACTCTTTTATCGGGTGATGGGGGTGATTGTCAGTAATAAAAATATAGATGCACAATTTTTTTTATAAAGTTACTGGGAATTCTGTTGTTGATGTGTGAAAAGGATAGCAAGACATCACAACACTAACTCGTTGAATTTACGATATTGTTTCTAATACGAGGCATATTTTTAAAGGCATTAATTCTCGACATCTCGCTCGTAAAATATGTGCTGTATCTCTGCATAAAACGAAGAAAAACTAGGTTGTTTTTTTTCCTAAATACTGTCTATACGATTTCAAAGTAATTAAAATGATAATAATTTCTTTTAACGTGTTTACTTTTTCACGATTGAGGTTAACGAGATGTACGCAAGGGCATGTTCCGTTTGTAACATGAGTATAATTGTGTTTTCGTATTTAATTGTAAAGTTTTTTCAGGTTAATTTATCTCTTAAACGTCTCTGAAATAACGTATCTTGTGAAATAAAAAAGAATTGAAAGAAAATTTTGGTAAGTTTTAGTACGTTTACACGCAAACTTAAGCATGTTTTTTTTTGTTACTTAGATGAGTGCGCGAGCTTACGACCCATCTGGTGTTAAGTTGATACCGGAGCCCATAGATATCTACAACGTCAATTCCATCACATACTTTGAGACCTTCTAAGTCTCAGAGCGACGGCATCTTATGAGTCCGCGCGGGTGTTTTTTTTCGCCTAGCTGCTAACACTGGCCCTAGCAGGAGCAGTGCTTCGCAGAATCTACCACCGAATCGGAAATGCGACCTACTGAGAAGATCCGGCGAGAAACTCAGTGGGCGGTGTCTACGGGTTAATTCACTCGTCGAGCCCTTCGTCGCAAGCAACGGCTTCGACGAGGACCTTGACCTGCGCTTGTGGTGCCTAAAAGCACCGTTAATAGATCGGGAAGATCCGTAATGACGTGCTTAGGGCGAAGTCGACTGTTTACCATTCGGTCTACAGGATCGGGTATGTAGTTCCCGGCGGCCACGACAAGAGGGTTTTCATGTCGTGCCGCCTTTTCAAAGTGGCGTAATGATGCCGACTGCAGATACTTACTCATTGAGTCAAGCTCCAGGTCATCATGGAGATCCACGTTCCTTAGGAACCATGGTGCTCCGACGGTTATCCTGCAAAAACGGGATTAAATAACTTGTAGGGGTTTCAAGTTGGTGCGTATGCAAGTTTTGTAGAGTGTCACTTTATTTCGAAGGGACAATTTACTTCGCTTAAGCGGCACGGGTGCATACCACCACCCTGCCCATTTTTCCCGTAAAGCAATAATACGTTTCAGTTTGAAGGGTAGGACAGTATGAAACTATAAAACTGAGACTTAATTCATGTCTCTTAGTGCGTGGCGGCATGTAACCACTTAACAACAAATAGTTCATGAGCTCGTCCACCCAACTAAGCCATAGATCATCCGTGACGGTGGCAACGTTCTCACTATGCCAAAAGCTGTCACGTGAACACACCCATCTAACATTAACCAACTTTCAAAGCCACTAATCAAAATGCATATTGTAGCAACACGTTACGTCATCAAAATGTATCGCAAAAAAGCGGAAATGCTATCACATTCGAATTATGAAGAAAAAAAAAAGATATATACCTTCAAATTTATGCAAAAACGATCGTTAACAAGCGCACCCATTTAGCAAGGTCAACGTGTTTGCAAGACAAGAAACATTTGCCTTTTTTTGTGTGTCATACATGATAAAGGTAAATTGT